ACCCAAATAATTTTGGATCCTCTCAAGTTAGATGCAACATACTTAGGCATAGCCTTAGTATGAATAGCGGGATGTTTTGCAATAGTAACCATAGAGGTACCATTACCACCCTTCCTAAGCATAGAATCATCATTAATTGAAATAGGCTTAGGGGTGTTACCTAGGGGACATGAATGTGCCATGTGTCCCCTTTCTCGGCATGAGTAGCACTTTCTCTTTGATTGAGCCTTCTCTTCCTTGCTTATGTGGTGCTTCTCATTGTCTTGCCTCTCATGGATTGCTTGAGCCTTCTTCTCAAGCTTGGTAGGACACTTAGAGGCAAAGTGTCCCGTACTTCCACACTTGAAGCACTTGATGTGAGCATAATCTTTCTTCTCATCTTCATTCTTGCTCATCATCTTGGCATCTTGAGTTTGTATTGGATGCCTTGCCTTTCCACCCCTTCTTGTTTTCTTCTTCTTTATCATCAAATCACCACCATCTTCATGGTTGATCTTGATTTGCTCTTGGGGTGTCTTCTCTTGCTCAACTTGTGGTTTTGGTTGAGGCTCTTCTAGTTGCTTCACCAATTGCTTGATTGGGCACATTGAGGTAAGGTGACCCCAAGTGCGGCACTTGAAGCACTTCACATGCTTGAGCCTCTCTTCTTCTTTTATCTTCTCGAGCTTCTCAATGTTAGGGCAACCATTTACAATGTGTCCTGCTTCATGACACCGGTAGCACATGGTATAAGAGAGCTTTCTTTGTTGTATCTTCTTCATCTTTCTTTCTCTCTTTATTTCGCCCTTTGTCATCTTCTTCTTGAAGCCAATGCCACACTTATCATCATAGTTTCTTTGAGTCTTCAACATGTGCTCAAAGATGACTTTTGAGTTGTAGCACCTCTCTAGCTTGTTGCTCAATTTTTTCACTTGTTCATTGAGCTCATTGTTCTCTTTCAAAAGGTTAGTTTCAAAAGATATAGAAGTAGAACAAGCATCTATATGTGAAGAGCATGGCATATCTAATAAATCATCACAAGAGGTGGATACATGCTTCTTGCCTACATCACAAGGGTTAGCAATAATTTGTGATTTATCATTTGATCCATGTGATGAGCTCTCATTATTTTTAAGTTTCTTTGTAAACATTTTATTGAGAGAAACATATTGTTCTAATAATTCATCATGAGATGCAAGAAGTGTCTCATAATTCAATTTTAGTTCATCATGTGAAGATTTAAAAGCATCAAGTATTTTCTTATGTTCTTCACAACAGTTCTTTAGAAATGAGTTTTTATTTTCTAATTTCAATGTTTTAGCTTTCTCATTTTCTAAAGACATGGTTATGCTAGCAAGTTTACTAACAAGCTCATCATATGAATCAACATTATCAACCACATTAGCATTTTGTACCTTAGTGTCACCTTGTGATGTGAAGCAATGTGGTGATGGGCTTGTACTGGCATCACAATCATCATCAAAGCATGAGCCATCATCATCACCATTAAGTGTGCATGGAGTAGTATCATCATGTGCATCACTTGAGGCATCATCATCAACCTTGTCAAGTGAACTTGTAGTGGATCGATCATCATCATCATCACTTGACCATGAGGTGGAGCAATCTTCCACAATCACCAAATTGTGGTTATGCTCAACACACTCATGTGTCTCCACCTTGTGATCATCCTCCTTAAATTCCCCATCATCACTTGTGGAGGAGTCACCGTAGAAGGCTTGGAGTGTCATCCACATATCATGAACACTTTCTAGGTCCCACATACGTCTAAAAACATCATCATGTAAAGCACACATTAGATAATAAAGAGCACGATGATCAAGTTGTAAGCAACCCTCTTGCGTTTGGGTTAGATTGTCCTTATCCAAATCATCATGAGAAAAACCGACGATAATGATCCACCATGCCTTGGGACCCAATTCACAGAAATGATCAAGCATATGACGTTTCCACTATGCATAGTGTGTGCCATAAAAATGTGTGTCACAAACAACTTCTAGCCCAAAGTTCACCATCCTCTGAAGTCGGTAAAGACCACAAATGAGAGACCTAGCTCTGATACCACTTGAAGGGTCAAGATGACGACTAGAGGGGCGGTGAATAGTCGTTTCTAAAACTTAATCGCGTCGGCTAACCAAAACAAGTGCGGAATTAAAACTATCGGTCTAGCCAAGACTACACCCCTCTATCTATATTCTCTAGCACCTTGTAAAGATCCTAATTAAGCAACAAAGGTGCCGAGCTAACTAGAGCTCACCTAACCAATTCTAGGAGCAAGGTCACATAAACCTATGCCACTAGTATTTCAAGCAATGAGAGAGCTCCTACACATGCTAGTAAGCAAAAGCACAAATCCAACTAAGCTCACTAGCAATGCTCAATAACAAGGCAACCAATGTCAAATTAGATAACGCAAATACTTAGCTACACAAACTAAGCAAAGTGACTAACAATGTTACACAAACCAAATTAACCACGTAAGAGAGCTACTTCTATGCTACACAAGCAAGAAGGTAACTAGTGAGCCACACAAGCTAACTAATTACAAGAGCAACTACACAAGCACAGTGTATATAAAAGTAATCACAAGCTTGTGTAAGGGGATTGCAAACCAACGGGAAGAACAAGATTGCCACAGTGATTTTCTCCCGAGGTTCACGTGCTTGCCAACACGCTACGTCCATGTTGTGTCGACCGCTCACTTGGTGGTTCGACGGCTAATTGACATCACCCGCTAAGCCCGCACGTCGGACACCGCAAGAACCTACCCCGAAAGTGAGGGTAGCTCAATGACACGCTCAACTAGAGTTGCTCTTCGCGGCTCCAGCGGGGCGAGCACAATGCTCCTCACAAAGCTCTTCTCCGAAGCACCACACAAGCTTCTTGCGGGCTTTGACGGAGACCTCTACCAAGCCGTCTAGGAGGTGGCAACCTCCAAGAGTAACAAGCACCACTGGCTTGCAACTCGATCACCTAGTGCCACTCAATGCAATCTCACAATGCAACGCACTAGAATCATACTCACTCGCAATCGATTCGCACTCTTGCAAGCACAAGTGAGTTAGAGGGTATCCAAAAACTCCTACACAAGCCACATAGGCGTGAGGGTGCTAAGCCACCAACCTAAGGCCGGCCACACACTCCTTTTATATCCCCAATGACTAAAATAACCGTTACAACTTCACTGGGCAAAGCGCGTACTGACCGGACGCGCAGTTCATAATGACCGGACGCTGAAACCCAGCGTCCAGTCACTTACAGAGAGGTTCCAGCGACGTTTTTCAGCGATCGGACGCGTCCGGTCATCACTGACCGGACTCTCCCAGCGTCTGGTCACTTCTGGACACGCTAAAACACTGATCGGACACTGTGACCAAACTTGCAGGTGCTGACCGGACGCTAGACCCCAGCGTCCGGTCGTTTTTTACGCCAGCGTCCGGTCACAGACCTTTCTGCGCTAAAACGGCTATAACTCTTAGCTCCGAACTCCAATTTTGATAATCTTGGACATTTTGGAAAGCTTACTCAGAGGGCTACACATCCCACATACATACTTGATCCAAATCACAATATATCAAAACAGTATTCCAATCCAAGGTCCATCCTATAGTTCGGAGTACACCGAAAAACCTTTTTCTCTTCTCTAAGTTGATTCACGATAACTCTAACTTCTTCTCCTTCGCAAATGTGCCAACACCACCAAGTGTGCACTATCATGTGTATGTGTGTTAGCTTTTCACAAATATTTTTCAAAGGATTAGCCACTCAACTTGCTACGCCACTCGATCCTAGTAATGATGCAAAGTTAGATCACTCGAGTGGCACTAGATGACCAATATGCAAACAAGTTTAGTACGACCATCTATCCTAAACCCGGTCATCAACTTCTCTACACACCTATGATCGGTGAAATAAAATGTCCTAGGTTATACCTTTGCCTTGCGTATTTCATTCCATCTCCTCCAATGTCGATGCAACACGTGCACCAACATGATCAACAATGATATGATCCACTTCATATCATCACGTGATCATATTGGTTCATCGATCTTGACTTCACTTGCTTTTCACCGTTGCCTTCGTCCATCGACGTCAAGTCTTGCTCAAGCTTCACCGCCACGCGGTCCATCGCTCTAAAGCCTCCGACTTGCCCTTCACGCTTGTAACCAGTCCATCAAGCCAAGTCTTAACTTGGTCTTCTCCACCTTGATCACATGACTCAATGTCATGTCTCATGTGCAATAAGCTCCTTCATCATCACATGTGTGAGCTTTGCAACATCTCTAAACCATTTTCACCTTCACGGCATATGTTGCTCACACATATGTATTTATGGACTAATCACATATGTATCTCACATAAACACAATTAGTCTACCTAAGGTTGTCACTCAATTAACAAAACCATACAAGGACCTTTCACATGTCCTTCAGGAACCATTGTCTACAATAGTTGTATGCTCCAACAATGTTTGCTATTACCATTGCTTCCTGTTACTCAGTAATAAACAATTTATATATAATCGCTCTGTACGATGTATGAACTCATCTACGACATGTCATGTTGACTTCCTCGCCCTGATACTATTATCATTGAAGCTCCGGATATTCATCTTTTTCCTATAGATTTGCCTACTAATTCTAAACTCGCGCACACAAGAATAAATCTTACCACGGTCCTTAGCCCTCGCTCGCGAGGGCGCACGTTTTCCACTAGTTTAAAACAAGCCCGGAATTTTCGTCCCAGCCGAGACGGCGAGAAGCCTTTGCTTAATTAACACCCCGGCGGCACAGGCCAAACCGTCCAAGACGTAATCCTTATTCGTTCACACTAATCTCTCTTCCTCCTCTGTTCCTCCCCTGTTCCTCATCTTTCCCCGTCTCCGTCCCCCTCCCCCTGCCCTCCCCTCCGTAACACGAAACAACCCCTTTCCCTTTTCCTCCACACAAGCAAGACGCTCAACTTGCCGGCTGCCGCCCGGGCAAAACCCTAGCCCCGCGATGTCCGTCCCCGGCGCCCCCTCGGGCCGCGGCTCCGGCGGCGGCGGCGGATCCCGCAGCTTCGACTTCGGCGCCGACGACGTGCTCTGCTCCTACGATGACTTCGCTGCCCCATCCGAGCCCAAGCGCCCCGATCCGGCCGACAAGGTGCCCGTCCGCTTAATCCACCTCCCTTTTCCTTCTCTGATCTGTCCCTACAGCGAGCACTAGTCAATTGGTTCGGCGCGTTGTCTTGGGGTCGATTTTTGGCTCTATGGTTTGGTATATTTTGTATGCTGGATCGGTAATTTCTAACCAGGACAAATGAAACTGACCTAAACAAGTTCACTTTCTTATTTAACTGATTCAGATGGAACGTTTTGTTGGTTTACGTGTAATCTATGTATGGCTTAATTTTCTGACTCATCTACTGCCTTCGTTATTCTTAAATGACTTTTCATAGTTTTTATGAATTGCCTTTTGTGCAAAATCGCGTCAGTCTAGTTTTTGGCATAGCATGTTTTACATGGTATATATCTGGCTATCTGCAATGCTTTCAGATTATCAGGGCCTATTGACTTGGCCCTTCTTGTGATCACTGATCAGGATCATTGGGTTTGCAATTTAGCCAACAGACAGACAACTTTTTCACTTCATGTTCGGTTTAAACTGAACTACTTTGTATGTTATTGGTCTCGTGACATCAGAGCCGTGCTGTTTTAAACAGGAGCTGCTATGATATTTACCCTTTTGGTCTTTCCACATATCGAATAGTCCCATTGTGAGACAATGATTGATGGTGACCATGTTTGTTTTACCTGAAGTGTGTTGAGGAAATAGGTGTATGCTTATGGAAACATGACGCTGCATCCCTTGAATGTGGATTGCATTATTTTTTATAGTTTTGTCATACTTATCTTTCAGACCCTGCAGAGGCTATTGTTCTCTCGAAAAGTCTCGATGCTAGGTTGCAAACTTGGAACTTTTGAGGTTATAGTTTTAGGAAATATCCAATGTTTCTATTTTTGATGAACTAGGAAAAATAAATCCGTATGTACCAAGGCTTTGTGCTTTATAAGGTGCATTGTTGTAACTTTTAGGATGGTTCTTTTCCAAAGGGCTGTTGCCTTGATATTATGTGCATACTGTTGTATTAAATGCTCTGGAAGTCTGGGTCAATTGCATTCCGTGCATATATCCACACAGCTCTATTTTCTGGTTGGGCTGGCTACCTGGCTCAATGTCTTCATATGAATTGGTGAATTGGCGGCTTTTGATCCCTCTGATCTGTGCTTCTGATGATTATGTTTGCCTTGTGTTCATTATTCCCAGCCCTCTCTGTGCTTTTGCAACAGGATTTTCATGACAGCAGATTGGGGAGGCCATTTGTGAAACCTTATGAACAAGAAAGTTATGGCAAGGAGGATGTGCTTTCTGCTGTTGAGAAATGCATGAAAAAGTATGCTGATAATTTGCTACGCTCTCTTGAGGGAATCACTAGTCGGCTTTCACAACTGGAGATTTATTGCTATAAGCTTGAGAGATCCATAGGTGAACTTCGAAGCGATGTGCTTCGTGATGAGACTGACCATAGATTGAAGTCTCTTGAGAAACATTTACATGAAGTAAGTAAAGTGCTTTGAGCAAGATTCTGTTTCAGAGTAGATGATGCTTCCACATTACTCCCACGCTGTCTGTCTCTGCATTCTTATGAATGAATGAATCTAGTATCAATACTATGATCATGTTATATACTCATCGATATCATTATCGTACTATGATAATTTCCCTAGATGAAACCATCTCACTAGAATTCTTGTTACACCAGGATCAGAACATTCTGATACTTTCTATTCAGATATGTTATGTGTCATGTGTGTTGGATATTGTCATTCAGTATAAATAGTAAGTTGAGTAGTTGTAAAAGGTACTTAATATAGAGAAGTGTTAGCTTAGTCATTCAGATATACTCTTGTTGTTATGCTGTGTTTTTATATGTGGTACTTCTATGAAGAGTTTTCAGCTTATATTGCTTTTGTTTATTATAGTTACAACCATGGTGTGTAGTTTAAACAAATTACACAGCATGGTTTTGTTTATTATAGTTATAACCATGATGTGTGGTTTAAACAAACTACACATCATACCCACTCATAAACCAACGCCGTGGTACCATGGCATGCTTTAATTCAGAGGGCACTTTCACAAATGAGGTCTTGTTTATTGGTCTGCATAGAAATGACATTGCTGGGAACAGTCATTATGATGGGAGAACCCATAGGGGCCTGTCACCTGTGCATCCCAAAAATGCATGATTATATCTTGAAGTTTCAGTATACCTGTATCTCAGCATGAAGCTTTTACACCTGAGTTTTTTTTTTCTCTCCTGGGGAACATCTTAAGGACAATTCATGTGGACTACCAGACAGAACATACATGGAGGTCCTATGGTCTACTTTCCCCTCAGGCAATCCAGCCTCATTGTCTGTTGACTGTTGTACACTTATGTCTCATGTAGGCCCCCTTCCTAAACCATGGTTGACGACAGTCCTTTCTATATGAATTGGTAGGTGTAGGCTGGACTGCTGGAGCATACAAGTTGGGTAGATATAGGCTGGACCGCTGGAGCATACAAGTTGCTACTGGTTCTGTATCATGTTCTATTTATAAATTCTCTAACAAGACCTGACCATATCCAAATTTGGAGATTCTATCCTTTTCTTTTGGTTGATCATCTAATTTTATTGTCCAATTTCAACATTTATGTTGCATTTATGTTTATGTATTTGACAGATCTTTGAGTATTGGATTGACATGTTCTCTATTTATAAGTTATTAACTCTACTGAGAAAAATGATGCAGGTACACAGGTCTATCCAAATTCTTAGGGACAAACAGGAGTTAACTGAAGCTCAGAAGGAATTGGCCAAATTTCAACTTACACAGGATACATCTAAAAAGGAAGATGTACCAACACCATCTATTCCTGAGCAAAAGAAGCTTGAAGAAAACCCTGATACATCAAACCAGCGATTGGCTCTTGTTTTGCCTCATCAGGTCAACCTGCCATCACTTGCACCTAGAGCTTCTGAATCAGTCCAACAGTACAAGGATCAACCTGTGCAACAATCAGCCCCTACCCATCCTGTGCCACAGCAGGACCGCTATGTTCTTAGCCAAGCCATCGTCTACTACCCACAGCGCCAAGCTCCAGGTATCCAGGACACACAGGGGCAACAATTGCAACCAGAAGTGCAATACTTACCAGCAAGACCCCCAGCACAAGATGTTCCAGTCCATGCTCCATCCCAACCACCTCAGGCCGGAAATCAAACACAGCCACAGCCTTACCCTCCTTACCAGCAGCAGTGGCACCAGCAATCCTCCCAGCCAACTCCTGCACCGGTGGCCCAGACACAACAGACTTTCTCACAGCCGTTTCCTCCACCCGCACAGCAGCCCCAGTTATCCAATGTGCAGCAGTTTCCACCGCAACCAGTACAGCAGCCCCAATCCAATGCTCAACAGTATCCTCCTCCACCAGTGCAACCACAGCAATCTAGCCCACAGCTTCCTCCTCAGGCAATGCAACCACAACATCCTCCTGTGCAAACTCAGATGAGACCTCAAACCCCACCAAACTACCCTCATTATCCACCCCACCAGCCATTGAATCCCACCCCTGAAACTCTTCCTGGCAATGTGGCTATGCAAGGACCATACAACACTGCTGCTCCATCAGGTGCCAGCCGTTCTGAACCGCCATATTCGTATGGAGGACCTGGCATCCCACCATCTCAGCCATCGCTGCAGCACAACATGCAAAGGCACCAGCTACCACCTTCAAGTCAGGGCTCCTTTGGGCCACCTCCAAGCAAAGGGTCCTATGCTGGCCCTCCACAGTATGCGGCACAGGGCAATCCGCAAGGCTACAACACAGGTTATGCTTACCCACCAAGCGGCCCTCCGGCAGTCCAGCCGCAGCAGATGCCCCCAGGTGGAGTCGGCATGAGCCATCCGGGGTCGCATATGATGCGTGGCCATCCCTACGGAGAAATGATGGAGAAGGCGATCACCATGGGATACCCTAGGGACCAGGTGCTGAACGTCACCCAAAGGATGGCCGAGAGTGGCCAGCCGATGGATTTCAACACCCTGCTCGACAGGCTGAACGTAGCAGGGTCGGGAGCACCACCCCCACGCGCGTGGTGATTGGATCCAGTTTGGGCACCGTGCTTGGTGTCAGTTATGTGACTTACGACTGTTATCATGCAGCTAAATAAATTGTGCTGATGCCGTGTACTGCTTATCTGTACTATGTACATATAATTGTGATTTTTTCATGTAAATGGTGCAGCAAGTGTACTACGAACTGTTCAGATATGTATATATTCGAAGCCAATTACCGGAAGGCATCCTGACATTTTTGTAGCGTGTCATGTGTCAGTCGATGATGTGAATAACTGTTGCCCGTCAACTTTAGCTCGCCTGGCGCTAAATTTTGTTTCCATCGCAGTTCTATAAGGGCCTCTTGGATCCCTAGATCCAACTACAGTCTGTATAGCTTTTTTACGCACTTAGATAATACTGATTATTTTCTTCGAAGTAACTTTGTCATAGGACGTTGAACTTATGATGGTCACTATTTAATATTGTTTTTGTTAAAGAATATTTTTCAACAATATTATCTTTGCTAGAGAGCACTTTTAGTTAATGTTGTCTTTGCTAGAGGATAATTTTTAATTATGATAGTTCTTAGACACTAGCTATTAAAATAATACTTTCCCATTCCAAATTATAAAATTATATAAGACATTTTAACTTTCTAGATATATTGTTTTTGCTATGTATTTTGATATACACTAGATACATAATAAAAGAAATATATCTAGAAAAGTCAAAATGCCTTATAATTTGGAATGGAGGGAGTAGTTTCCTAAGGAGCGGAGGGGAGAGAGATTAAAAATAACCATTGTGCCTCTGCTATTTTATCCAAACTCTCAACAGCTGTTTAACAAAATTCATAACCTTTGGATATGAAGTTAGATGAAAACAAACTTTATATCAAAATTATAAACATCAATAAGATCTACAAGTTTGTAGTGATAAGGTTTTGATTTGAAACAATTTAGAGTATGAAAAGATCTTTTCAAGTTCTTGGAGTTTGATATTAAAAATTTAGAATTTTAGAATGACCTTAAATATTGACATGGTCTTCGCAAAGTTGTACTCTCTCGGTTTTAAATTATAAGTCGCTTTGATTTATTTGGTACATCTATTTTGCTATGTATCTAGATTTAATATATGTCTAGATACATAGCAAAATGGATGTACCAAAAAAACCAAAGCGACTTATAATTTAAAACAGAGGGAGTAATTATCAATGCAATCTATAACACTATATGTCGGGTTCATAAACCCGGGGTCCCTCATGGACCGGCTTCCCAGCAAAGGCTCGGCCCAGCAGACGACGTTGCGAAAGACGCGTAACTCCTGGGCCAGCCCAAATACCTAAACGACAGGCCAGAAGGGCGATCCAATCTCCGACCATAAGGCCTCGCTAAGGAGGAATAGTGCTCGCTTCCGTCTCCGGCCCGCCTCTCCGATCGGAAGGCTTGGCCAAACACCGCTTCCGACTTCGACCCGCGTCTCCGACCAGGCATGCACCGAACCCCTGCTTACAGCTCTTCTCTGACTGGCGCAGTTGAAGCCAACTGAGACCAACCGACCGAGGACGCCCGCTCGGTGAGGACCAGGAAACGGACGGAGCAAGTAAGGCAGGGCACTCAAGTCGACCGCAATACCGAGGATCGTACCCTGCATACCTGCAGGATAGTAACTGACAGGACATGTCAGAAGGGTGCCCTGCAACCTTCTAGGCAGCCCAGCACCCAAGCAGTGTTGTGGGCGCCAACATTTGCCCTACAGTGTTGTAGGCGCCATCAACTCCCATACCAGACAAATACGGTAAGGCTCCCTCCCACATGCCTCTGGGCATCAACAGTGTTGTGGGCGTCGTCATTTACCATACATGGTGAATACGGTAAGACCCCCCACATGCATCTGACAACAACAGTGTTATGGACGCCTACCATCATCTTGTACCCGATGGCGTGAGCAACAAGACTTAGTAGCATATGTACTCTCTCTCGTTTATAAGGTCGTCCCCTTTATCTATAAAAGGGAGGGGATGCGCTCTCTCCCAACAAGGAGATCCCTAAGTTCACCCACACACAACAGCAGAACCACTAGGTTCAAATCTCGAGCACACGCTCAAACACTTAGCGCACAACGGAGCTCCCGTCACTCTTGGCCCTTTAGACCGGAGTCCGACCGGACCTCTTACACTCCCCATCTTTCTCCTTTCCGTTTATAACCCCACAACAAACTTCGAGCACTTGGCTCAAGAATTAAGTCACCGGCCGACTCAAACTGGACGTAGGGCATGTTGCCTGAACCAACATAAACCCTGTGTCATTGAGTACAGCAAAACTATAAATATTTACGTGTTGGTCACTTTCTGCACCGACAGTTGGCGCCGTCCGTGGGGAAGACGTTGTATGTTCACGCTTTTGGTCATCGGATGACCCACTTTTCTACCACCTTCGCCATGGCAGGCTCAAGCGATACGACTCGCTTCGGCTCGCTGGAGTTTCCTACACTCCCACCTATTGGGATGTGGGTTCCACCCATCTTCGAGCCGTCCCAGGCCTTCCTCTTCGGAAGCACGAACTTCGTCGCCGACCGGCTCGGCACGCTTCACCTCCGCGAGGAGGCACCCATCCCGGCGCTCGTCGGAGGGGCACCCTCTATCAGCTCTGGGACACCCGACGACTTCAACGACGAGGCGCATGCGCTTCATTCCGAGCAAACGCTCTGCTCAAACCCCGCTGTGAGTAATATACATGCTTTTATTTACTCACTAGTTACTATCTTCCGCCGATTATCCAGAGGGACCGCATTGTCCGCACCGCAACCACCATACGACCGGTTCCCCTACGGCCTCACGTCCCCCGCGAACGTGTATGCTCGGGGGCTCCGGAGCACGCTGGCACCGCCCCCTCTCACATCCGAATTCGTGGGGATGGCGAGCTATGCTCCCACCACTTTCCACGAGCTCCTGAATGACGAGGTTGAGAGCGACAGCTCTAGCACCGGCGACGTGGCACCGAGCCACCGTCCATCCCGGGAGTGCGCTATGGCGGACGCTCCGGGATAGCCGCCAGTGGTAGCGGAGTCCTTGTAGACTCACACCCCTCTGGACCCTCGTGCAAGGGCCCTAGCGCTTGCACAAGAGCACGGCAAGGAGCTACGACAATGGCGGCAGAACCAGCCGCCACCTGTGCCGGAACGCTCGGTGCAGCACGTTGCGCCCCATGCACGTAACCTGGCGAGCGACGCCCGGGGTCGCGCCCGCCAGGTCCAGCGCGACATCATGGACGAGGGGAACGATCCCCCACAGTTTGCTCGGGCTAACCAGAACATCGCCGCTGCGGCAATGCTTCTGCGTGGCGTTCCCGAGCCCATCGACCCCCAGGAGCGGGCGGTCCACCGGAACCTCCGGGCGCTGGTGGAAGCCGCCGCTGTTCAACAGGCGGAAAGCTCCGCATTGCAACTCCGACTTGCGGCCTCTCTCCCCGCCAGACGAGTGGGGACGCACTAGACGGATCGCTCCATCCGCTCACCGCTACAGCCGCCAAGCGCGACACAGGAGGCCGTAGCTGCGCCGCGGTCCGACCCAGCGCCTGCTCCACATCGAACCAAGACGCTCGCAGCATCATCAGCAACTGGCATTAGGCCTGGCATGATGATGACATCCATCGGGCGGCGGTGAGGGCAGACGACATGGGCCCCGACCGGACCATCGAGGGGAGCGGTGAAACGCGCCCCAGGCATGGTCGCCGGCCAGACGATCGGAGTCCTAGCCCGGATGGCCCGGGACCACGGGCCTTTGGCCGATGCATCTAGAGAGCGCCATTCCCACAGCACTTCCGACCGCCCACCAACATCGCCAAGTACATTGGGGAGACGAACTCCGGTATATGGCTCGAAGATTTCTGGCTTGCCTGCCGAGCTGAAGGGGTGGATGATGACCATTTCATCATTCAATATCTCCCCATCTACGTGGGGGAACATGTTCGGGCATGGCTTGAATTCCTCCCGCATGACAGCATCCGCGACTGGGCGGACCTCAAGAGGATCTTTGTCAAAAATTTCCAGGGCACGTATGTCCGCCCTGGTAACTCCTAGGACCTCAAGAGCTACCAGCAGGAGCCCAGCGAGTCCCTACGGTATTACATCCATAGGTTCTCCCAACGATGCAACTCTCTCCCTGATGTCGTCAATGCGGATGTCATTAGTGCATTCCTCTCTAGAACAACCTGCGAGTCCCTGATCCACAAGCTTGCCTACCTGAAGCCCCGTACCACCCGTGACCTGCTCGATGTCGCCACGAACCACGCCTCCGGCGAGGAGGCGATCGGAGCGGTCTTCAATGGAGGCCGGGACAAAGGTAAGGCCAAGCGCGAGGACCAAGATGAGGGCCCCTCCACGTAAAGGGGCAAGAAGAATAAAAAGGATTGGCGTCGACCGACCAACACCGCGTTGGTCGCCGCAGCTAATCACGCGAGCAAGCAGCCCCAGCAGGGCCTGCCTGACCACTTCAACAAGCTTAGGGATAGCCCATGCACCAACCATGCCTACCCCGTCAAACACCTCTACAAGGACTGTGAGCTCCTCAAATGTTTCCTACGATAGGCCGGCGGGCCGAAAGAAGGAAACAGCAAAGAGGCGGCAGCCAAGAAAGGAGGCACGGCGGGCAAGGACGGGGGCAGCTTCCCCAACCCCAGGGAATGTAGCATGATCTTTGGGGGATCCGACGCCATCTACTTCAAGCGCCAGCACAAGGTACGCACAGAGAGGCATGCGCCGCCGAGACGGCCGTCCCCTCATTTCTTAGCTGGTCGGAATCTCTGATGACCTTCGATCGGAGGGACCATCCCTCCCACGTCGCCAGACTAGGACGATACCCGCTCGTTGTCGACCCCATCGTCCGCAAAAAGCGACTCACCAAGCTGCTGATGGACGAAAGCAGCGGCCTCAACATCCTCTACATCGACACCCTCGACGCCATGCGCATCCCTCGGTCGAAACTCCACCCAGCGGGCTCTCCCTTCCATAGCATGATCCCGAGAGCGCAGGCATACTCGCTC